ACGGTTTTACAAGACGGGGTCCTTCGGAGCGTCCTCGGGAACTCCTCCAGGCGCTCCCACGCCAGAGATCACCCTCCAGCCGGTTTCCCGTCCAAGGGGTAACCCTGACAGCGGCTGGTCAAGAGCTATACACGTAGGCGTGCGTTTCCGCTGCGCTTGGTCCCCATTCTGCAAGGAAACTCCAGATTTTTCACCGTTTGGGTTTACACAAGGGTCAAATGGCTGATGCAGTATTCCTCTGTAAATCTCACAAAAAGTCTATACCAAATTTGGAGTAAAAAATAGAGTCTTAAATATGTAACCATAATACTCTTCACAATAGAAATTTTCAAACAAATAAGAGTTTTACCATTCAAAGCGTGTATATAAAAAGTTTATTAGCAAGCCCTTTCTACACAATATTTCACAAGGCTTTACAAGCCACCTCTTCAGGCAAAAAAGGTTATTTCTACTTTGCGCAGCCATCCTCTCCTGGGACCCAGGTTTTACAAGTGACTAGAACAGATGGCTGCCAGTATTTTAAGCGTAACCATGCTCTGGATCGCTGCAGGTTTGTTATCCTGCCAAATGATATATTTCCTTGGTAAACTTACAGTGATAAATACGTTCCATGATTGGGATGGGTGATGGCGAATACTGAGAGAAAAAGGAGGAAGAAAACTTAGTAACATTCCACACCAGTGCAAATATAGCCCATGTTTCCTTACACGGTAAGTAATTCCCAACGTTCTGTGTAATCATTTTCAAATAGCTCTCTTACAATGTCACTTCTCTTCCCTCCAAAAGAAAGCACCTTCCTTAAACTACATCATACACCCCTCACTCTACATTAGCCTCCACACAGTGAAGAATACAGTGGAGTATAGCAGTTTGTAGTCTAAAAATTCAGAAACAGACTAACTCCTTTGCAGGACACTGTTTTACCCTTTAGAAATCAAAAGCTCCTCGACTGCCATCGGTTATCAGGATTTTACAGTTTTCTTAGGGGGGCGGGGAAGGTTTGGTTTTAATTGTAAGCTCCAAAAAATTCTCAATTATTGAACCTAGTTCCTGCTCCTAAGGGCAACCGTGTCATTTTCATCCTTTCATTCACTGCTGAATTTTCACTTGTGTCAGTTCTCCTGCGTGCCTCTCCCAGAGTGCTGCAGAGGCTGTTCCAGAGCCCTACAAACTGGCTATTCTGAACATTCTTCTAGTCCCCAACCATATCAAATTACAATAAAATTAATTTTATCATACAAGAATTACTAATGTCATTTATTAAACCCTCCCAGGAAGCGATCCAGCAGAGTTACTTTTTCACGAAATGTCAGTTGTTGTCCTTCATCCATTGCTCAATCCATTGCACAATCTGATCCAAATTTCTCTCCAGGTCTTCTGGAGTGTTGCTGGGTAACTGGTGTACAATTTCCTCTCTGTATGACAACACAGCTTCCTCGTAAAGTGTCTGAAAAATTTCACACTGAATGTTGTCTTGCAGCTTTTTCCCTTTGTAGCCCCTAGAAAATAAAAACGATACCGAGAGACAGTCTTAGATATGCAGAGAACTATGAAGTATTCTATAGAGAATCAGTAATTTATACCCTAGAAAAATCTCCAAAGTCACGCGACAGTACTTCACTCCTTACTCCACTGACATACCTGCTTTCAAGTCGGTCATACAGAAATGAATTTTCCGTGCGAAGTACAAATACTATATGAAACCACCGTTCAGGGAAAAAATCACAGCCATGATAATCAACAATAACTCCACCCTCACTCATTTTATCTTCTAGTTCATCAATTACCTGCAAAAGAAACAAAGATAGGCAAGTTTATCTGAAATTACAGAAAGTCAAAGCACAAAAATGCTAGGTTTTGAAGTTGGACTTACCCTGTCTTCATCCAAAATCGGACAATCATACTCCTCATCAAAACCTTCATAGAGTTCTCCTGCAGCAAAAATAATTTGTGGAAGTTTGTGAAGTAACAGCAGTTATTAAAATTACTTATATTGTTGTGTTTATTTCAGGAGGATGCAAACAAAAGCTAGCGTTCAGAGCAAGGAACACTTTGTTTACAAATCCATACAAGTATATGTTTGCTATTTATTACTTTAATACAAAGTATGCTACTGTTACATAAATGCTTTTTAACTCATACCACCAAAAATATTTTTGTTAAAGCAAATTCATTCCCTTTTCATTTAATATATAACACATGCACAACAAGCACATAGTTATACAAAGCAAAAATATATGAAGTACTTTGATGGACTATTTTCTTAATATGGGCTACCTTCTTTTGCCATGTCACCCACATTAATATAGGTCATCCCAGCTCTTGATGCAAGTTCTTTTCCAAGCGTGGTTTTCCCAACGCCTGGAGTACCTAAAGACAAAATCCCATATAAAACGGTAAGAGAACAGTATGCAAGTCCTTTTCAAATAACCTTCTGAGGAGACAAAAAAGGAAGCGTTTGTCAGTTAACGTTGGCAGGTTCATGCAAGACAAAGGGGGCAAAAAGCTGCATGAGAAGGAAAAACAAATACGAGCAACGTCTGGAGATTAATAAAAGGACCAACCGTATGAAGAAAACTCTCACTTTGTGCAGAAGTGTTATTCTAACCCGGATGATGCAAAAGGAAACCCTACTTCATTTAAAAGCCCTAACTAACATAGAACCCCCCCAAGTTTTCAAGCAAAGCAGCCCGGCACCGCCTCCGCAGGGACCTCACACCCCGAACCACCGGCAGCGAACAGGGCCGCGGCTTCCCCCCGCAGGCCCAGCCCG